CTGTCTGACTTTTCTGAGGCAGACAGTGATGAATGTTGTTTTGTGATGTATTTTTATTGTTTTTAGGCTGTTAGTTGTGTGTCGAGAGGCTGTGTTGGCTCAGGGCGCGAGGCCATCACAGCCGGGCCACGTTCACGAGCCGCCGCCCCGAAAAACACGACGGGGGGTGGGGAGGAGGGGAGGCGCTTCTAAACCCGATGMACTGTACCTGAGCTCGACCCCGGCGGGCGAGCCCCTCCCGTCCCGAAGCATCGGCCTCCGTCAGGGGGGGCCGGCTGCTTCTCCTGACCCTCGATCCTCCTCCTGCTCCGCTGCGAGCGTGCGCTCAGCAACCTGAACTGCGACCAAGCATCGCCGAAAGCCAAGAGGATGGAGAATCAGGAGACCGGGGGGTGGGGGGGTGTCGAACATGACTGAGGGGCTTTGTTTTTGAAGGGAGGGGAGGGTGTTAGGTGTTGTGGGATGAGGACTGACATCTGGAGAGGAGATGGACAATGGCTGGAGAGGAGGTCATGTCCTTATGAGTAGGAGGAGGAGTTCTGGCCCTCCTTGGAACGCGCCTCGGCCTCCAGGTCCTGATCATCCTTGGTCTTGATGTCCTGGTACTCGTGTGTGGAGACGGCGCTCTTCAGATAAGCCCAGTTGGCCGCTAGAATCATCAGGTAGTGGATCTGAGGGCGAGAAAACACGTGAAGCAAGACAGATGAACGCGTTTGTCTCTTGTCTGATTGTCAAATGTTTAGACTTCTATGAAAAGCTTTTCTTCAAAGTGCTGCCATGCAGTGGTGGATCTAGGGTTTTTATGAGTAAGGGGCCATCAAGGGGCCGCAATATTCATAGGGGGGCCAAGTCTTTGTTCAATTTCCTTTCACACAAATTCCCAGTGTTTACATTTTACACTTCAAACACTTGTAATGTAATGCAATTTTTTTTAAAAAAAGGTACTACTTTAAAATAAGCCCCCCATAGATGGCTTTTAAAGAGTTTATAGATAGGTTATTAATTAATCTGTAAACACTTTAAAATTAATAATAAGTGTTTATTATGAAATAATGAAGGACAAGAAAGAGACAAAATTGTCCAGTTTCATTTATTAATGATTTATGAAGTGTAAACATTACAAATTAATTAATAACCTATCTATAAACTCTTTATAAACCATCTTTAAGGGGAGCTTGATTGTATAGTGGTACCAAAAATCTGGCACAGTAAATTCTCCTCACCAGTTTTTCATACATTTTACATAGATAAAATATTTTCAAGCACACGTGAGAAAATCTGACCATCATTTGTCAGATGAAATACCTTTTTTGCAGGATTGTTCAAATTTTAAGAAGAGAAGAAGAATTCTGTCAGCTTGATTCATTCTGGACTTTAGTATTTGACTCATTAGCACAACTAGTGTTTGAACATGGAACTGCATCCACCATCACACCCAGGTAAAGGACAGAGGAGTGACAGGACAGGGGCACTTCAGGGGGGGGCAATCAGATTTCAGCTGGGGCCAATGCCCCTGTGGCCCCGCCCCTAGAACCYCCCCTGCAGCCATGTGAACTCTGATCAACATTATTTTGTAGCTGTGAGAGTCAGGAATCATCCCTGCAGACAAAACGTGAACTTACACTYAGTTCGTTTGAGTTTTCAGTGAAATTCCTGCTCTTCATTGGAGAAACTGTATGTGTCACTCTTACACTAGATATATCAATACAAATTTAACTTTTTTGATCATTTCAACTCAGGGACAAGACTGATATTTTGATTTTTAGGAGTTCACTAAAACAGATGAATTTTATTTCTTTTTTTACACGACTGAACCACCTCTTTACCGTCTGGAACACTTCAGCTCCCGTCTCATTAAGTCTCCCTCCAGACACATCAAGCCTGCTCTGATTGGACGAAATTAATGGAATAAGAGGTGGAAATCAGCAGCTTTGATATGATCATCGATTTGTACAATGTTTCTCAATATCACAAATTCTCTCATAATGTTTTGATCTTTTAACCATTTTGGTCATAACGCACACACACACGGTTTTCATGCATTCACTGGAAGTAAGGGGGGGTGATTGTCGAGTGTTTACATTCCTTCCAACGATAGCAATGGAGACAAGTGACTTTTGTGGTGTGTATAATTGTTCGAGGCAACTTAACCAAGTAAATTCCTCTAGGAAAGTCGAGCAAAGCTGCTACGTGAAGAAAGCTGTGGCTCAATGCGCTTCACCATCACAACTTCACTCTGACGTAAAAAAGTGTGTAATCATAACAAACACCTGATCAGTCTAAAGTTCAGCAAGTTTTGATGTGAGAGGTTCTATGGCACTGACACAAACGGTTGATTCTGACTCGAGTCAAATGTTTGATGAAAACAAGACGAGAACAGCTAACTTACCCTGCTGGGCGTTCACAAAAGGATTCGTGGCACACTTTTCAGGGATTTTATCCATTGGTTGTCCACAATTTTCCGAAACCATGTATCGACATTACAAGTCGCCATCATTACTTCGCTCTTTCTGATTACGTTCCCCCTCACTTCTGGTTTTGGCAGGAACGATAACTGTGGTGGTATTTCACCATCCAATCAAAACGCTCGTTTCATGCGTGCATTAATGTGCACAAGGAATATTCAATGGTCAGTGATTGCTATGGTGCAATATCATATACCCATCTGATTCGGATCAGTGTTTTAATTTTACCTTGATGTCAGTGAATCAAACATTTAACGGACACATAGATGTGAATCAATGTTTTGTTACAGCTCAAACTCCCTGAACATTTGAGAGCTCTGCAATCATTGGCTGACTTTAAAAAAGGCTTGAAGACTTTTCTTTTTAATCGAGCCTATTCTGCCTCTGCATGATCTTACCACTGGTTTTAATTACTTTTAACAGAGCTCGGAAGTTTATTAT